AGGCAGGAGCCAGAGAGTAACAGTCAGGGGCGAGAAGTTAGACTGGTGAACGGTAACGAGTGGAGTACCTCAAGGATCGGTGCTGGGACCAGTTCTGTTTGTAAGTGAACGATATGACTACAGGAGTCGAGTCCTAAATATGTCAATGTACGCGGAAGACGCGAAATTAATGAGACGAGTTGTGACAGATGACGAGTGTAGAATACTGCAAGAGGACTTGAACATGCTACAGAGATGGTCAGAGAAAGGGCTACGAGAGTTCAACATGATCATGTGCAAAGTTATGGAAGTGAGACTAGATGACAGGAGACCAAAGGGTCAGTACAAAATGAAAATAAACTATTTTCCTTTTACGATTCGAGAAAGAGTCCTGGGAGTGGACGCAACAACTAATCTAACTCCTGAGGCACATATAAATAGGATAACGACAGCAGCGTACTCTTCGCTAGCAAAAGTTAGAACATCATTCAGAAACGTAAGTAAGGAGGCATTCAGAGCGCTTTACACTACCTACGTGAGACCAGTCTTAGAGTATGCAGCCCCCACCTAAAGAAACACATTAGGAAACTGGAAAAGGTTAAACAATTTGCGACGAGGCTAGTCCCAGAGTTGCACGGGATGGTATTTGAAAAGCGACTGAAGGAACTGAACCTAACTTTAGAAAAAAAGGAGGTTGCGGGGAGATATGATAGCAGCATACAAAATACTTAGGGGGATTGACAGAGTGGAAATAGACGAAATGTTCACACGGAATACCAACAGAACAAGAGGGGACATGGGTAGAAGCTGGAAACTCAGACGAGTCACAGAGATGTTAGGAAGTTTTCTTTTAGCGTGAGAATAGTGAGGAATTGAAATGACCTAAAGGAGCAGGTTGTGGAAGCAAACACTATTCACAACTTTACAACTAAGTATGATAAAGAAGGACAGGCGTCACTGCTTTAAACAACTGAAGACTAGAAGGGCGGGATCCAAGAGCCAACGCTCGATCCTGCAGACACAAATAGGTGAATAAAACAGACGCATACAAACACTGCCTGCTATAGTGGAGTCATAGTCCTAAGGGCCCGGGTTCGATTCTTGGTCGATGAAGAAACAAATGGGACATATTCTTTCGCCTGATGGACCTGTTTACCTAGCAGTAAATAGGTACCTTGGAGTTAGACAGCTGCTTCGAGCTGCATCCTGGGGCTCGTAGTGTATGTTACAGAGAAATATATGTAGCAGATATGATTAATGAAAATAAATCTGGAGTCCGTACAATTCACAACCGACGGTTAGAAAGGCGGGGTCCAAGAGCTAACAGCTCGATCCTGCAGGCACAAATAGTAAATACATATACACAGTGTGATAATACTTTCTTGATAAGAATCCTGAATTGAGCATTTTGGTTTAATGGTCCACATCAAGTTGACCAATTCGACAACCAATTTAATTTTATTACTTAACGAGCGTTGACACCATTCTTCTCTATTGGCAACGGATGAAATGCAATCCCATAATGCAGCGCGCTAAATGCATTACCTACCTGTTGATAGCTCCGAGGATCAGTGTCCCCGTGGCCCAGTCTCTGACCAGGCCTCCTTCCTGGTTGGTGGTCTGGTCAACGAGAATGTTAGACGCAGCTGCTCGCGGTCTGACACGAGTCACAGCCTGGTTGATCAGGAGAGTGTTGGAGGAGTCAGTTGTGCACCGGGAGAGGTCGGCTAGTTATGACCTTTATGTTTCCAGTGTTGAAAAGTCTTGGTCTCAATGTTGACAAAACTCTCTCTCAGAGTACCTATTGCACCTTTGCTTTTCAATGGGGCAATGTTGCACATCCTGCCATGTCTCCTGGTCCTATTGTGGTGTTATTTCCGCGTGCAGATTTAAAACCAGTCCCTCTAATATTTTCCTAATGTAAATTATTATGTATCACTCTCGCCTGCACTCTAGAGAATACGGATTTAATAACTAAGTGGTCCAAATGATTCAGATGTTTCACTGGATGGATTCGGGCAGTTTAAGACCTTTGCAAGTTATCAAGGTCAGCAATTTCTCCAGTTTTGAGTGGGGGTTGTTAGTGTAGAACAGTGTTCCACCTCTAGAGAGTTATAGTGTCTTAAACAGTTCCATTATTAGGTGGCATCTCTTGAAAGTTTATAGTTATCCAATCTGTCATTCTTCTTGCTGCATTGTAGAGGTTATTGGTGTCCCAAGCTGTCATGTATAGGACATCTCACTTCCCCTCCCCCAGGGGGACACGCTCTTCCCCCCCCCACCCCCATGGGGGACACGCTTCCCCCCCTCCCCCGCCCCCAGGGGACACGCTCTTCCCCCCCACTTCCCATGGGGGACATGCTCCCCCTCGGGGGACACGCTTCCCCCCCCCCCCCAGGGGGACACGCTTCCCCCCCTCCCCCGCCCCCAGGGGGACACGCTTCCCCCCTCCCCCGCCCCAGGGGGACCCTCCCCCTAGCCCCCAGGGGGACACGCTTCCCCCCTCCCCCGCCCCCAGGGGGACACGCTTCCCCCCCTCCCCCGCCCCCAGGGGGACACGCTTCCCCCCTCCCCCGCCCCCAGGAGGACACGCTTCCCCCCCTCCCCCGCCCCGAGGGGACACGCTTCCCACCCCCCGCGCCCAAGGGGACACGCTTCCCCCCCTCCCCCACGCCCAGGGGGACACGCTTCCCCCCCTTCCCCGCCCCAGGGGGACACGCTTCCCCCCCTCCCCCGCCCCCAGGGGGACACGCTTCCCCCCCCTCCTCCGCCCCCAGGGGGACACGCTTCCCCCCCTCCTCCGCCCCCAGGGGGACACGCTTCCCCCCTCCCCCGCCCCCAGGGGGACACGCTTCCCCCCCCCCCCGCCCCCAGGGGACACACTCCCCCCCCCCCCCCCCAGGGCACACACTCCCCCCCTCCCCCAGGGGACACACACTCCCCCCCCTCCCCCAGGGGAGACACACCCCCTCCACCAGGGGACACACTCCCCCTCCCCCAGGGGGACACACTCCCCCTCCCCCAGGGGACACACTCCCCCTCCCCCCAGGGGACACACACACACTACCCCCTCCCCCAGGGGACACACTCCCCCTCCCCCGAGGGGGACACACTCCCCCTCCCCCAGGGGACACACTACCCCCCCCTACCCCAACCCCCCTCCCCCAGGGGACACACTACCCCCTCCCCCAGGGGACACACTACCCCCTCCCCCCAGGGGACACACTACCCCTCCCCCCAGGGGACACACTCCCCCTCCCCCCAGGGGACACACTCCCCCTCCCCCCCAGGGGACATACTCCCCCTCCCCCCAGGGGACACACTCCCCCTCCCCCCAGGGGAAACACTCCCCCTCCCCCCAGGGGAAACACTCCCCTCCCCCCAGGGGACACACTCCCCCTCCCCCAGGGGACACACTCCCCCCTCCCCCCAGGGGACACACTCCCCCCTCCCCCCAGGGGACACACTCCCCCTCCCCCAGGAGGGACACTCCCCCCTCCCCCAGGAGGGACACTCCCCCTCCCCAGGGGGGACACTCCCCCTCCCCCAGGGGGACACTCCCCCTCCCCCAGGGGGGACACTCTCCCTCCCCCCAGGGGACACACTCCCCCTCCCCCCAGGGGACCCACTACCCCTCCCCCAGGAGGGACACTCCCCCTCCCCCAAAGGACACACTACCCCTCCCCCCCCAGGGAACACGCACCCCCTCCCCCCAGGGGACACACTCCCCCTCCCCCCAGGGGACCCACTACCCCTCCCCCAGGAGGGACACTCCCCTCCCCCAGGGGACACACTCCCCCTCCCCCCCAGGGAACACGCACCCCCTCCCCCAGGGGACACACTCCCCCCTCCCCCCAGGGGACACACTCCCCCCTCCCCCCAGGGGACACACTCCCCCTCCCCCCCAGGGAACACGCACCCCCTCCCCCCAGGGGACCCACTACCTCTCCCCCAGGAGGGACACTCCCCCTCCCCCAGGGGGGACACTCCCCCCCCCCCCCCAGGGGACACACTCCCCCGCCCCCAGGGGGACACGCTTCCCCGCCCCCCCAGGGGACACACTCCCCCCTCCCCCCAGGGGACACACCCCCCCTCCCCCCAGGGGACCCACTACCCCTCCCCCAGGGGGGACACTCCCCCTCCCCCCAGGGGACACACTCCCCCTCCCCCCAGGGGACACACTCCCCCCTCCCCCCAGGGGACACACTCCCCCCTCCCCCCAGGGGACACACTCCCCCCTCCCCCCAGGGAACACGCACCCCCTCCCCCCCAGGGGACACACTACCCCTCCCCCCAGGGGACCCACTACCCCTCCCCCAGGGGGGACACACCCCTCCCCAGGGGACACCTTCAAACGTCAATAACAAATACTAAATATAACACCGTCCACATCCCGGAAGCCGTGACGTCACTGGGGCGGAATATTGAGAGGAGGAAACAGAAATTTCTCGCCCAACCAATTTCCGACATTTCCGACCCGTGACCTTAAAAATAATAAACGTCTGACCTTACGGGTCTGAGAGAAGGTCAACACCTGTACCCTAGTACCAGGATGCTTCGGGTCTGCATCCTACGGGCTCACCGTAGCCCGTGCTGCTTGGAACTTTTTGTTCCAGGTTAGCAAATCTTTAACAACAACATTCGGGCCTGCAGTCATTTACCTGTTGCGTACCTGTTGATGCTTGCGGGTGCGGTCACAGTCTCTGACCGGCCCTTCTGGTTGGTGGTCTGGTCAACCAGGCTGTTAAGACCCCAGTGTTGGCAGGCAATAAACAAGTTGAACAAATACAAAAGCTAACCCAGGCACGTGATTTCAACGAAGCCACACAAAGGTGCTAAATCTATACCAGTTGTTAACCTTTGGTGCCAGTGACAATCATCCGGGATATATATATATATATATATATATATATATATATATATATATATATATATATATATATATATATATATATATATATATATATATATATATATATATATATACATACACACACACACATGTATGCATACATGTATACATTAACTTGTAACACTAATTGTGTATAACAGAAGGTATGTAGGGAGTGAGGCAGGCCATGTGGACCCATGTTGGGCGTGTGAGGCAGGCCATGTGGACCCATGTAGGGAGTGTGAGGCAGGCCATGTGGACCCATGTAGGGAGTGTGAGGCAGGCCATGTGGACCCATGTAGGGCGTGTGAGGCAGGCCATGTGGACCCATGTTGGGCGTGTGAGGCAGGCCATGTGGACCCATGTAGGGAGTGTGAGGCAGGCCATGTGGACCCATGTAGGGCGTGTGAGGCAGGCCATGTGGACCCATGTTGGGAGTGTGAGGCAGGCCATGTGGACCCATGTTGGGAGTGTGAGGCAGGCCATGTGGACCCATGTTGGGAGTGTGAGGCAGGCCATGTGGACCCATGTTGGGAGTGTGAGGCAGGCCATGTGGACCCATGTAGGGCGTGTGAGGCGGGCCATGTGGACCCATGTTGGGCGTGTGAGGCGGGCCATGTGGACCCATGTAGGGCGTGTGAGGCGGGCCATGTGGACCCATGTAGGGCGTGTGAGGCGGGCCATGTGGACCCATGTTGGGCGTGTGAGGCGGGCCATGTGGACCCATGTTGGGCGTGTGAGGCGGGCCATGTGGACCCATGTTGGGCGTGTGAGGCGGGCCATGTGGACCCATGTTGGGCGTGTGAGGCGGGCCATGTGGACCCATGTTGGGCGTGTGAGGCGGGCCATGTGGACCCATGTTGGGAGTGTGAGGCAGGCCATGTGGACCCATGTTGGGAGTGTGAGGCAGGCCATGTGGACCCATGTTGGGCGTATGAGGCAGGCCATGTGGACCCATGTAGGGAGGGTAAAAGTGAGAGACATGAGGTAAAGAAAGCGACCCAGAGAGAGCACTTACGGCGCTCTTTCAAGTGATAAACTTAATCCATAAAATCTTCAAAGAGGATTAGATTCGTGACGCTGATAAGAGCATTATCTCCAGGGGTGCTTGGGACTGTGTACTCACCTAGTTGTGCTTGCGGGGGTTGAGCTCTGGCACTTTGGTCCCGCCTCTCAACTGTCACTCAACTGATGTACAAGTTCCTGAGCCTACTGGGCTCTATCATATCTACATTTGAAACTGTGTATGGAGTCAGCCTCCACCACATCACTTCCTAGTGCATTCCATATGTTAACTACTCTGACACTGAAAAAACTAACGTCCCTGTGGCTCATTTGGGTACTCAGTCTCCACCTGTGTCCCCTTGTTCGCGTTCCACTAGTGTTAAACAATTTATCTTTATCTACCCTGTCAATTCCTCTGAGAATTTTGTAGGTAGTGATCATGGCTTCCCTTACTAGTCTGTCTTCCAGTGTCGTGAGGTGCATCTCACGCAACCTGTCCTCGTAACTCATGCCTCTTAGTTCTGGGACTAACCTAGTGACATACCCTTGAACTTTTTCCAGCTTCGTCTTGTGCTTGACAAGGTACGGGCTCCATTCTGGGGCCGCATACTCCAGGATTGGTCTTACATATGTTATATACAAGGTTCCGAATGATTCCTTGCACAGGTTCCTGAAGGCAGTTCTGGTGTGTATTCACCTAGTTGTGCATGCGGAGGTTGAGCTCTGCTCTTTCCGCCCGCCTCTCAACTGTCAATCAATCAACTGTTACTAACTACTAATTTTTTCCACACGCAAACACCCAGGAAGCAGCCCGCAACAGCTGTCTAACTCCCAGGTACCTATTTACTGCAAAGTAACAGGGGCATCAGCGTGAAAGAAACTCTGCCCATTTTGTTTCTGCCATCACCGGGGACCGAACCCGAACTCTAGGATTAGGAGTCCAGAGCGCTGTCCACTCAGCTTCCATGTCCATAGCTGTGTGCGCGCGCGCGCTTACAGGATGAAAGCTATGTTCATGGTGTCCCGTCTTCCCAGTACTCTTTATCGTATAACGAATTGAAACTACAGACGGTTTTGGCCTCCACCACCTTCTCACTTAACTTACTCCAACAGTCTACCACTCTGTCTCCAATATATTTTCGGCTCCTTTGGATCTTTCGCCTGACTGTATGACCTCCTCTTGAAACTGCAGGTTGCAAGAATTCCTCTTTGCCACTTGTGTCTATCCTTGCCTGTTCTTGCCTGTTCTTGCCTGTTCTTGCCTGTTCTTGCCTGTTCTTGCCTGTTCTTGCCTGTTCTTGCCTGTTCTCGACTGTACGTAGTGCTTATATCGCCTCTTTTTCGTCTATCTTTTAGCCTTGGGATATTTAATACCTCTTTGAGGGGGGGAGGGACGAGGAGGGGGAACGTGGAGGGAGGAAGTGGAGAGGGGACGAGGAGGGGGACGAGGAGGGGGTCAAGGGGGGGGGGGTCGTGTGTAAGTTGTTTTGGTTCCCCTATTTTCCTTCTGTCCAGGGAAATGAAAATTTTCCCTAGCGTATATTGTCTATATTCCTGAAAACAGCTTATCTCTCTTTCCCCCTATCTCCCCCCCCCCCTCTCTCTCTCTCTCTCTCTCTCTCAGTATATAATAGAACAAAACTGTACCATCCTTATTTTTCCAAATTAATATGAGAAAAACACAAACAGTTGTTCACCAGTGTTCCGTCCAAGACTTACACATCATCACATCAGCGGATTATATATACCAAGTCTGAGCCCCAGAGTATTACAACGTCCACCACTGAATCATTGAGTGAAGGACACGCGTGTGGATGGCGGACCACCGTATTAACAGTGTAACTTATTGCTAAAGCTTTAAAGCGAAAGAAAGTATCTCCCTAAATTATTACGGTAGAAAGTACCTCCCTAAAGTATGGCGGTAGAAACTACCTACCTAAAGTATGGCGGTAGAAAGTAGCCCCAAAGACTTATGAGGTCAGAAAGTAGCCCCCCCCCCATAAATAAGGTGCAGTACACTGCCTTTTCGACGCTGTCGATAGTAACGTCAAATTTCTGGTGATTTAACCAAGTTTAAAATCCCCGGAATACTGACTTTTTTTTAATTTTTTTGGACTATAGTGAACATCGGTTTCCATTGGTCGGGTAAGTTGCCTCAGTCTGAACGCTTCTGGTTAGGCTAACACCACTTCAAATTTGACGGGAGTTCAATTGTGAAAACGAGAGGCACCACCACCACCACCGGCACCACCACCACAACTACCACCACACTGGCTGCTGCACCAACACTACCACCACCACCACCACCAATGTGACACGCTAGGGACCTCTTAAACACGTCCTGTCAACAAAAAGATTTGTTGGCGAGAACACACAGTGTGTTTACCCTCTGACAAACACACCAGATAATACTTTTGTGTGCTAAACATGTGTTATTTTTTCCAGCTGATTTAAACGCCGTGAGATATTGTAACATTATTAAATGAAGAGGGAAATATTTGCATATTTTCTCAGCGTGACTACCCTCTGAGGAATGGATCGATCAGTGGATGAGACATTATGCCCTGAGGTTTTAAAGTGTTTGAGAAAAATAAGTGAGACATGTTAGATTAACTGGTTTTTTGTCTCTCACTTCTCTCCCTCATCCCGAAGACACAAACACCCAGTTTCTGGTGTTTCCATCTTTGTCTGCGTTGAGTGTGTGTGGCCATATGGCCTCTCTTGGCGAGCTCTCAATGGTGATAATACACACATACACGTCCTCCGCCCTCTCCTCTATACTGCTCGCATACACACACACACGTTAATAACACCTATTGCCATTCTCTTTTCCCAGTGAACCTCCCCCCCCCTCCCCTCACACACACACATACATACATTCATATACAAAAACATTACACACATATATACATACAAGCACATACATATAAAACACGTACGCACACAAACACATACACTAACACACACACACTGTCCACAATGAACATTGAGAGCAGCAATCTACCCAAGTCGGTTGGCGGGAAAAACGTCACCACCCATAGCGATCGGCGTTATGCCCGCAGCCAATCAGAGCTCCAGCTAGGGAGCACCAACAACCGCATCGTGCGGCCGCAAATGGTCTCCCAAAACGGAGTTATCACCATCAACTCGAACTCTGATATTCCTCGTCGAGTCGACCTCAGGAGAGCCAAGTCTCTCCGCGTAGGGAACAAAGACCACCAACCGAAGAGATACTCGGTGATCTTCGACGTTCCGGAAAAGACTAACGACGTCTCTAACAACAACGAACGACAGGGCCCAAAGAAGCCTCCTAGATTGAAGATCCACGAACGACCGGATGACGAAGAACAGCCAGCTGTAGGCAGCCCGAACAGTGGTTTCAATTCCATCGCCTTCAGGAGAAGCCTCGCTAATGGACTAGCGAGGGTGAGAAGCTTCAGCGGCAGAGATGCCGACGACAAACCGCGCGTGGAGAGGCGGCCAGCGAGGACCAGCGGTGCCTATGTTCAATTCCGCGACCAGGACGGCGACTGGCGGCGACACAGCATCCGTAGGATCTCCCAGTACGAGACGTGCGCCCACACCTTCAAGGTGAGTGCTCTTACTGCCTCTTGTTGACGTGCACACCTGCCTCTTCTTGACGTGCACACCTGCCTCTTGTTAATGCACACCTGCCTCTTGTTAATGTACACCTGCCTCTTGTTAATGTACACCTGCCTCTTGTTAATGCACACCTGCCTCTTGTTAATGCACGCCTTTAGATTATGCCTTGATGGACTCCTACACTAAAACGAAACATATACACACTTTCCTGCCCATACATCAATAACGTCACTGACATGATGCAATGTTGAAATGCAATGTTGATTCCGGAGTCCACACAACCCTATCATGCCCTTTTTCGGTATCAAATCCATGCATTATTAATGTATTTAGTAAATACACAAGCATGTAATATGTACGAGAGTTAGAAAGTTGAGGCGGAAACCACGTTGTGGAACTTTTAGCACATCCTGGTTCACGGGTGCGCGTCTGGGGTGACCCAGGACGCTGGTTCGAACCCCTAAAGATTTCTATATTCCATAAATATTCAGCCACGCGACTGCATGTAGTGGCATATAACTCGCCTCATCTTGTCTAGTCTAGTTGCCTCGTTTATTTCCACAGGGATTGAATCATTACAATCAAAATCATGATGATTCAAAATCATCAAAATCATATGTCATCATGGATGGTAATGGGCAGGGAGGATGAAGAATAGGGAAGGAGTTGAAAGGTAGATAAGGGGATTGAGGAGATTTAAGGTAATGATGGGCAAGCAATGTGGTGAAGTGTAGGGCAGGTGGCGAAGGAGAGGGAAGGTGTGCAGCTAAGACAGTAATAGTTGTGATGATTCCTACTGATGAAGGTAGTGTGTATGGAAGATAGTGTGTAAGGAAGATGGTGACAGTGATGAAGATAGTGTGTATGGTAGATGGTTACAATGATGAAGGTAGTGTGTAGGTAGACTGCCTCTACTATTAGTTACGTTAGTCGGTGTTGTACTGTTAGTTACGTTAGTGTGGTATTGTTAGTTACGTTAGTCGGTGCCTTTTATTGTACGATGAAAAAATACAGAAATAATTGTTATTCTCCAATATAGTTAAGTTGAACACATCATAACAATCCAGCCGAGGATTCATCAATGTCGGAAATATGTCGTTTGATGAGTATACGTGATTAAGGGCATACGTAAATCTGTGTATCTATGTATTTACGTATGTAGGTTAGCTTAGCATTTTAAAAGCACCGAATCACCTTCTGTCGTTGATTGTTCAATAAATCCCTGAACTATATTTTTAACTGATCTCTAACCCTGTCTATGGAGGACAGAAGAAAATGTATATATTCTGGTTAGCATTGTTAATATGTGGCCACGTCTGTGGTAGAAAATAATAAAAAAAAATTACATCCCTAGGTGCATTGATGATAGTGAACATCATACCTAGAGGAAGATATGTAAGCTGCCACTCACTAGATGGGTATGGGGGTCCACTACCTCCCACTGGATGGGTATGGGGTCCACTACCACCCACTGGATGGGTATGGGGTCCACTACCACCCACTGGATAGGTATGGGGGTCCACTACCTCCCACTGGATGGGTATGGGGTCCACTACCACCCACTGGATGGGTATGGGGGTCCACTACCACCCACTGGATGGGTATGGGGTCCACCACCACCCACTGGATGGGTATGGGGTCCACCACCACCCACTGGATGGGTATGGGGTCCACCACCACCCACTGGATGGGTATGGGGGTCCACTACCACCCACTGGATGGGTATGGGGTCCACCACCACCCACTGGATGGGTATGGGGTCCACCACCACCCTCTGGATGGGTATGGAGTCCACTACCACCCTCTGGTTGGGTATGGGGTCCACTACCACCCTCTGGATGGGTATGGGGTCCACTACCACCCTCTGGATGGGTATGGGGTCCACTACCACCCTCTGGATGGGTATGGGGTCCACTACCACCCTCTGGATGGGTAAGGGGTCCACTACCACCCTCTGGATGGGTAAGGGGTCCACTACCACCCTCTGGATGGGTATGGGGGGTCCACTACCACCCCCTGGATGGGTATGGGGTCCACTACCACCCCCTGGATGGGTATGGGGTCCACTATCACCCTCAGGATGGGTATGGGGGTCCACTACCACCCCCTGGATAGTTATGGGGTCCACTATCACCCACTGGGTGAGTATGGGGTCCATTATCACCCACTGGATGAGTATGGGGTCCACTAATAAACCCAAAATGGGTTTTTCATAAAATTTATACTTCTGAAATTGCTTTACAAATTGCTTTTTGATTTGCCTTACAAATCTTGACGTATGACGCATTTACCCCGTCTATAACGAACTAATGTTTTTTATAACGGCAAAAATATTTTATTTTGATAATTTTCATATTTAATATTTATGAGAATGCTAATTTGATGATATTATTTACATATATCACGTGATGTTTTATGTCCTAATAAAACCATCTGTAACTTGTGTAGGAAAACTTGAAACATCTAGAACTTGGCAAGTTCTTAGATCCAGCGGAACTGGATTAGTTTAGATTTAGGAAAGACCTGGGTAAATACTGGTTCGGTAGCGGGGTTGTTGATTTGTGGAACCAATTACCGCGTAACGTGGTAAACATCTAATAATTTTTGGCTAATATGATTTGGTTAATAAACTGTATATTAAATTAAATTTCAGCGTGAGTACATACATTGATTTTTACAGCAATTTGAAATGTTTTAATGTTTCCTCGTAATTAAAACTGCATGTTGAATGTTTACATCTGAGTGGCTCCTTGCTCCCGGTGACGGGACACACCGTTCAAAATGTTGACACCGTTCAAAATGTTGACACCGTTCAAAATGTTGACACCGTTCAAAATGTTGACACCGTTCAAAATGTTGACACCGTTCAAAATGTTGACACCGTTCAAAATGTTGACACCGTTCAAAATGTTGACACCGTTCAAAATGTTGACACCGTTCAAAATGTTGACACCGTTCAAAATGTTGACACCGTTCAGATTATTGACATCATTGTCAGGTGGCCCGTGACTTAGGCCTACAG